TAATAAATATGAATATAAGCTGTGCAGTAAAAATGAATATGAGTATAATAATATGTGCAAAAGAAAATAAATAAATGAACAGTTATTGCAGAAGCAATCCGAGAGTTCTGGTGTGGATAGAAACTATAAGAGGTGAAGAAAAAACACACACATTCATACAGCTCTGCTATATACAGTGCTTTTTCATACAAACACATCCCAAATTGTTATTGCATCTATTAAACAAAGTTCAGTACACCTGGCACCATAGACGGTGTATTTAGGATACACTTTGTATCTGAAAATGATATATATGTAAATGGTTCAACCTTCACAAGACCAAAAAAGGCTAAAGAAAATCTGTCCGCAAGATGTCAAAGGTAGTTCTAAAAAAAAACAGGTGGACACAAGCTGTTTCACTGCTGATGGAAGCAGCAAGATGAATGCAGAGATCTACAAAAGCATTCTGTGCTCGGATTTGGTCAAATGCATCAAACCTCACAGGACAATGATTCTAAACATACGGCCAAAACCTATCATGGTGAGGAGGTGGAATATTTATATCTGGCTGCTGGTCAACTTCAGACAGTAATTTACTACAATAGGTTTTTCCACTAAATATTATACATGATAATTTTGTTTGACTGTAGCAATATGTGTTAAGCCTGTATCTCCATTTGTACTGTCTGATATAATCCACTCAAAATAAAGCTGAGATGCATTACCTTCACACAGACTGAACACTGCATCACATAAAAAAATCTTTAAAAGATATATAGAGCACAGTGACATACAAATATCATACAAACCTTATCACTCAATATCATGTAGTCTAAGTACACTTGAGATAATCAATATTTGTCCTTTGATTCTCACTTAAAACTAATTTCTAGGACTGCCTTCTTTCACTTACATAATGTCTCAAAAATCAGACATGTCCTGTTTAAAAAAGATGCAGAAATGCCTTTGTCACATCCAGACTTGATTATTGTAATTCCCTATTATCAGGCTCCAGCAGTAAGTTGTTAAAGACTNCTCATAGTATCATATCACCCTACTAGAGCACTGCGCTCCCAGAATTCAGACTTACTTGTTGTCCCTAAAGTCTCTAAAAGTAGAGTAGGAGCCAGAGCCTTCAACTATCAGGCTCCTCTCCTGTGGAATCATCTCCCAGTTTCAGTTCAGGAGGCAGACACCCTCTCTATGTTTAAGAGTAGGCTTAAAACCTTTATCCTTTATGATAAAGATTATAGTTAGAGCTGGTCAGGCTTGTCTTGGACCTGCTCTATGCTGCTATAGGTCTAGAATTTCGGGGGACACATGGACACACATTCTTTCCTCTTCTCCCTCTTTATCACAGCTGTGGCCACATTGCAAATCAGAGATCGTGGTCGTAATGGCGGATCCTTTAATTGTGCTGGCTGATCGTGATAGTAAAAGCAAATGCTACACTTTTGTCACTTGTACACTCTATGTCTGTCTCTTTCAAGCACTTCATGATATATCTGTTCACACCGGTCCTTTTTCATTGTTCTTCTGTATGATGCAAATAGGCTATTGTTAAGAGGTATCAAGGTGTTAAGTGCTCTAAACCTTACAACACCCTTTTTTCACAGTGTCCATGTTTTTCCAGATTACGACTTCAAAGCAAATTAACAACTCAGGAAATTGGATCTCTTTAGGAGTATGTGAATGCACTGCTTAGTATCAAGTGATGGAGACACTCTGTGGACACCTTAAATTCTACACTCTAGACAGAAAACATATTCATTATACTAGATGGGTGTTAACTTTGCCTTCATTTGAGGAAGGCTGAGCAATGACACCACTTTTCAGGAAACTGTTAAAAACTGTTTTTTTAATGCTAAATCTAAGCACTCGTAAGAGGCTGCTCTCCTGCTGAAATAATGAAAGCAATGAATGTTTGGATGATAAAAATCTATCTACAAGTGTATGATTAATTTCTTTAATTTACAGATAATTTATGCTTCCTAAATGTCTGTTTTGTTGTTGATGGTCTATATTGCACATAGTGGTCACTCGTGTTTTGCTCGTTTCTGGTAGTCTACTGTTAATTGCATGCCTATTTGTGTATGTACACTGAGCGCAACTACACCAGAGTCAAATTCCTAGTACTCATACATTGCAAATAAAGCTGATTCTGATTCTGAAACGTGCTAAAGCAGCAGAGGCCTTCAGGGGCCTCATTCATAATAAAGCGCTCATATATAAAGTGAGGAATTTGGGTTGACCCTTGTTCTACATGCTTAACTACAGACAGAGAGTGGAGCAAAGCCACATCTGTGGCAGATATAGACAAAAACACAGGCTACCATGAGACCACACTTAAATGACTATGCAGAGCTTAGGCTTCAAATAAACTGCTGGGCTTTGTGGTACCATCTGTCTACTATTCCTGTACACTCCAGCTGAAGGCAAACAGGGCCTGTCCTGTTCTTGTCTCAGCTCAGCCATAAACTGCAATGATAGATGGAGGTTGGCAAGGAAGCAGTGGAGGTGAGGGTGTGCTACAATCTCAAAAGGATGAAGCTTTCAAAATATGGTATCAGGTGACAAATAATGCGCCACGATCCCATAATTAGCCACATTTCAACCACAGGAACTTTCCCCATGAACTGAACCTTTGCAGGAACACTGTGCTTTTCCACCACAGGGACCAGGGTTTAAATTTAGTCCCAGGGAAATCTGTGCTCGGGTCGTAGCATGCTTCATGAAAATACAGGAACCTTTGGGGTTGGGCTTGCAGTGCTGAATATTGGTATTTCAGTGTTTTATTTGATTTGGTTTATTTGGTCTGCAAAATTTGACATAAACTCAGTAGATACCACTTCCGCAGTGCGTGTGCGCTGTGCCCCAATTCTCAGCAATTTATGATTAAAAGGAGCAAGTCTAAGAGATGGATGAGATGCACCATTTTTAAAGGCTATTCATTGTGCTTATTAATCCTCAGCCTGTGTGGTTCAGGAAGATGTTATTCAAGTC